CACTCCAGACATGCAGCCATATGCTCCATGATAGATGTTATGGAGAAGCACTTGGCCTTGTACTGGCACAATAGCTGTTCCCACATGGCCTTTCGATGCTCCTGGTCAGCCAGGACTCCTTGCAGTCGGCGACCCACTCCCAGTGCTCCCCACAGAATCGTCAGATAGGGGACTGGTAGCAGGCCACCTGGTCCTGCAGCAGGTCTTTCCTGATGCACTTTCTGCGGTGGATCCCATGGAGTTGGGAAGATGGCGTTGGAGGTGGTGGATGCATCATGCTCACTGCTGGCCCAACTGTGAAGAAAAGTGACAAGGGCAGTCATCCCAGGAGACACTGTGTATGAAGCCTAGCCCTAATCTCTGAGCCGACACTGAAGGTCTCAGTTCAGATGATTGTTATGTGCTTCAAGCAAGGCCATCTGTTGCCTAGACAGCAAGCACTTTCCTGCAGGGACACCAAAGTCCCAGGGGAGCATCACTATCCCCATGGCCCGGGGACAAGCAAGCATGAGAATGTGACAGCCAGGCCAGGAGCCTGTAGGCAGGAGGCGGGGCCAGGGCAGCTCAGCTTCCTTCTGTGTCCTGCATACACCAGGTCCGGCACTGGCGGCGTCCCGCAGAAATAGAACTTCTATCCCTGCCCACTGGAGAAGGGGGGGCATGTTGAGGGAGGTGTGTGTGAGCAGCAGAGGCCGCTTGCCAGAGAAAGCGCTACCGATGTCCCCTTTTCTTCCTTCTACCGGCAGGTTCCCATGCACAAGATTGGTCTCTTCCACATTGCCACCCTTGACCAGAAGCAGTTGTTGCCTGAATAAGGGCATGAGCCTGTGCAGTGTGTGGCACTGCTGTGTGTTTCCATGACCCCAGCCTCCTTAGTGGTGGCTTGTTGTGGGAAGTTGCCCCACCACATTGTCCCGAGTAAGGCAGGCCTCTCCAGGAACCTTGTGTGAAGCAACAAGGGGTTCCTGTGTGAGAGTGTCATGGAGCTGAGTGCCTGCTCAAGCTGTTGTGCGACTCCTAAGGCTAAGAAAGGAGCACCCAGCCCCTTGCAGCCTGCCACCTGTCCTCATATGTGTATAGGGAAAGTGATGGAACTCACCTGAAGTGCCTTCCCTGGGATTGTCTGAGCCCTGGTAGACATCTTGGGAGGTGGGGACTGACTCCAGGGTGAGGATCAGCTCCTGGCTGGCAGGCATGGTGTCTTGGTTGGCTTGCTCCTTTGCCGCCTCCTCCTCCTCAATCTTCATGCAGGCTGATGCCAGGTGTGTCCTGACCGGAGTCAACAACGGTGGGTGAGGAGGTGACTGGCCCCCCTCCCATGATGGTATCAAGGTGCTCATTGAAGTGGCAGGTGTGCAGTGCCACCGAAGAGCGAGAACTTTTCTCCCTGGCCTTAGTGTAGGCCTGCCAGAGTTCTTTTATTTTCATGTGGATCTGGTCAAGGGTCCATATGTCTTTCCTCCACCAGGTTGGTGGCCATCCACCCATCATTATTCCTCCTTTTGGTGTGGAGATCCTAGATGTTGGTCTCCTCCCCCCAGACCTCAATGAGGTCCAGGATCTCAGCACCAGTCCAGGCCAGTGCCATCTTTTGACCTTAGCCAGGGGCATTAGAGGGTGCTGCGGAAGTGCTAGCAGCTCTAAGGGGCACAGAGAGAGCACACTGGGGTCTGACATGGCTACAACGAAAGGTGCTGTGTGGCATGGGGCTAGCAATGCTGTCCTGGTGCCACACACCTTTTCCCTTCTACCTGCAGCTTTAAACTCTGCAGGAGAAGGGGAGCACTGGAGTTGTCAGAGGTGTGGCCAGAGAAGCCACAAGTGCAGCTGTGCAAGGCCGCTGTGAAAGGCCTCTGGAGACCAATTATTTCAAAATAGCAGCAGCTGAGCATCCACACTCACACTATTTGAAAATAATTTCAAATAAATGTTATTCCTCATGACAAACATTAGTTATTATTTTGAAATAACCAGCCCGATATTTCAAAGTAACAGGCTTACTAGTGTGGATGCTCCACTTGTTATTTTGAAACAGACCAGGGCTAGAAGAAAAGGAGTGGTTCAGCGGGACAGTACACTCAATCATTTGAAATAAGCATTCCAGTTTCTCATAATTCTCATCCTTCTGACAGATACTTGGAGTAACATCCAGTCGTGCACCCACCTGAGAAAGAATCAGAAATGAAATGGAAATATGCCAGGAGCCCCGTTCTGCATGAATTATTTTAATGAACCAAATATCAGGTGAGATGACCACTTGGCAGGGAGAATTACATGAAATCAACTCCCTGTCAGCTGCTGACAGCCAGTACAAGCCGAAGACTGGCTGAGGGAAAGTTGGGGGGGAGGGGGGGGAAAGGACACCCTCTCCCCAAAAGAGCCAACCAAACCACTCTAGTAATTAACAAATTTTAATTTCAGATGCTAAAATAATCTTTTCCATTTAATTTCTTAACACAATCAGGTCACAAAATTTCAATACAGAGAACAAGCTACCACAAGGAGGGCTGGCAGCAAATCCTACTGGACTGCACGCTTCATTTCACCTCAAGTAGCCATTGAGATAGTGACAATAAGGATGGAGAGTAATGGAGGAGGTGACCCTAGAAAGAGAATTCTTTGCTACACAGCCTTTCCTCAAATATTGGATCTCCCTCTCGAAACTCCCAGTTTACTTCCATGCTCACTGTGCTGCAGAGATCACTTTCTCAGTGTTTCTGTGAATGCTTTAATCCCATGACTGTGAAGGTAGCAGCAGTCAGTTTTTCATAGACTAGGAACATGAGTGCAGCAGTGAGGACTGTCTGGAGGAGCTTTGCTTCAAGGCCTTTGTAGAGTCCCACCAATCCAAAACGCCTAAGAAGAAAGAGGTTTGACAAATGTGAAGAGTTTTCTCTAAACAAATTACGCTAATGAGAAATGTTGCATTGATAGCTCTACATGCTGAAGCTCTTCCTCTATCTTTAAAAGACAGATAAAGGATGGGAAACTGAACAAGCTTCTTACACACTCTATCCTACCAGAATATTTCATCTTTTGTTGAGAAGAGTAAGTCAGTGTCCATGGCATTTATGCAGAGACTGTCAGCAAAGACACCAATAAACACTTGCCCATAGACTTATCGGTCAACTAACTAAAACCCTTTTCTAAACTGCACCGTTATTTTGAGATAACTAGCATTATTTCGAAATAACAATGCAAGCGTCTACATAGCCATTCCATTATTTCGAAATTATTTCAAAATAACGGACATCTTATTCTAAAATCTGTAAACCTCATTCTGCGAGGAATAATGCCTATTCCGAAATAGCTATTTTGAAATAAGGCGTGTGTAGATGCTTTACTGCTGCTATTTCAAAATAGCCCCTCACCAGGGCCATTCTAAGTTATTCCTCCCCAGTGCTTCCTGGGGCTCTAAATCGAGATAGCATGTCTGTATTAGGTAAACCTGCCTTGGACTAATTTTGAGGCTTCCCTATAGTGAAGATGTGCTATTTCAAAATAAGATATTTCAGAATAACTATTCCAGAATAGCTTATTTTGGAATAAGTGTGCAATGTAGACATACCCTGAGTGGCACTGACCTCTAGTTAACTACTGACCTATTACTAATTCAAGTTAGAAGCTAAATTACAGACAGAGAATTAAAGACTCCTTATTCTATGCCCAGTCTCCTTAGCTACTTAGATTTGAAACATAACAGCTCAACACAGAGGGGTAAGCATTTTATACAGGATATTTAACTGTTTTCTGCAGGAGAGGCTGAGTTACTATCTATAGAATCATCTCACCCTGAATAACATGCAGATATTTAATTTGAAAGTAGTTACTTGTTCTCCGATCCCTAACTGCTAAGAAATTAAGAACCCATTTTTTGGTAGGACAGTGTGAGTCAGGAATTAGAAAACTCACCTTACTCGCTGTCGAAGAAGATAGAAAACATTCTTAAGACTGCCTAGTGTCCGGTTTTCAGGGTTCAATCTGTGACGTCCAAACTGAATGGAAAAGAAAGAAACAGGGTTAGCAATTTATTGACATTATTTCCTCTTAACCATAACACTCACTGCCAAACCAAGAAACCCTAGTGAACAAATAAAATGTGGAAAAGCTTCTAAATTCTATAGTAATTTCTAGGAGTGATTATCTTACATCTATTTTCATGTCTTCCAGCTTCTGCTATCAAAAGGTTGCAATCAGTGCAAAGGAGTGTGGCCAAAGCTTTTACTGACCTGAATTTATTTGATATAAGACCTCTAGCAGTAAGTCTTTGTTTGCTACAATGAAATCTTAATGATTAAAGTCCATTTCTTTCTGACTTGTGCATCACAGAGTTAATAAAGATTCAGCAGAACAGTTTACACTCTCACAACTATGTAAAGTCATTACCTTCAGTACAATTACACATACGTAACCAAGGGTAGAAATTTATGCTAGAACTGGAACTTCATTTATAATTATATTGATGTTGAGTGATTCATGCTTGATTCAAATATCCAACTAATTCTTCCACACTTGACTTTGTAGTGCTAACAACTGAATATGAAAGTAAGCAGATATAACTGAGTATTTACTAAAAATGTTATCATTGTTGTTATGCCACACCAATGTCAGCATGTATAGTTACCCAAGCTAAGATAAAGATAATCATATTACAGGATGCAAGATGTACAATGACTGCTTGCAAGGATCAGGAATGAGTGATTTATTCACCATGCCAATTATATGTACTGGGCAGCTGGCTAGATACATTATTTATTAGGAGTTCACTTTCCTCTGATATATCAAATATTGGACACTGCTAAAAGCCAGTAGTGATCTAAGTAAAGCAAACCTTTTGTATATTATTTGCTTTTTCATTTTATCTTTAATCATTTGGTCTTTAATATTTAGTCTTTAACATTTATTTTCCATGGTTATGGAAACTATTTTATATTTATAATCAGAAGTCTTAATTCACATTTTATGCAGCATTTAAATCATAAGGTGCTTCAGCAGTGTTTGTGAAAGACACCACAAAATGTGCTATATTGTAATTAGCTTTAGCTGTTTATGAGATAGGATTATTCCTACTGAGTTCCAGCAGGCTCCATTGGCAAGGCAACAAAAAAGCACAAGTTTAGGCCCATACAATCATTGAGACCTGCTACTGACCTTCAACATAACCAGTAGAGCCAAAAGGACTTTTAAATGAGAGACTTACGAATGGACAGGTATTGGATTGTACAGTACTAGCCTCCAGAGATAAATCCTGGAGTTAGATCGGGGTGTGCAATAACACAGTGGCAGTTTGCCAGGGCTAGCCCCTGGCAGGCTGCCACCACTATATTTACCTGCACAGCAGTAGGTACCAGTGATCGCAGCTCCTGTTGGCTGCGGATCGCCATTCCTGGCCAATGGGAGTGGTGGGAAGCAGCATGGACTGGGACATGGTTTCCTGCAGCTCCCATTGGCCAGGAACAGTGATCTGCAGTCAACAGGAGCGGCAATCGCCAGTATCTGAAATCATGCAGGTAAATATAGCTGTGGGGGCCCACCAGGACCTAATCCTGGCAGACCGGATCCAGCCCATGGGATGGGTTTTGCCCATCCTTGAATTAGACATAAATAATACTTACCCGTAGAATTGATTGTATTGTCTGCATGGGATAGGTAATGGTGGTGGCAACTGCCTTAGCTAAAGCACCAATGACGAATGCTTCCAAAGAGGTAAGCTGTTCAACAGTATAAGGAAAATATTACTTGCATGAAGAAACAGATCAGCCAATTATCTATGTTACAGTTTTATACCTATCACCATAGCATTGGAGTGCTTTCCACAAAAAGTCAATAGTAAAATCCTTAGTGGACTTCATGGAATATCTGACTTCTCCCTTTTCAGGGTCAAAACTACAAATAAACCCGCACAGTTAGACAGTGGATGTTCAACAACCTCTTGCATATATCATATTTCATTTGACATAGGCTCTGACTTCCCCTCTAGCTGGGGGTTGGGTTGCACAACCCCCATCCTCAGATAAAGGAGAAGCCCTAGAGCACCCACAGAGTTGGTGTCTATGTCCTTTGATATAATTTCTGTTACTAAAACCCAGTGGGAGGAGTCACGTGACTGGAATGTTTTAAAGTCACTACACACCCCTTATTTAGCAAAAACAGTAAATAGAAGGGTAAAGGAATGCCATTCCACATTCAACATATTGTAAGCTTTGAAATGATTGAAAATTGAGAGGAACAGGATGTGAACTGTTTATAGTTCAATGTTCTAATAAATCACAAGATGAGATACTTGTGGAGGTCTGTTATAGGCCATTAAAGCAGATTTGAAATAGGATGAGCAGATTCTTAAACATGTATCTATAATGTGTAGAAACACAGAGTTAAAATCAAAGTTGTTTCTATCATGGGAACATATATTAGCGATCTCAGGCTTCCACTAGTAAATTATCCTTGAGTTCTAAAAATTATAGATGATCTCACACACACACACAATTACCCCAATTAAATTGCATTATTAGGCCTTATTCTAACTGATAAAGATGAACCGACCATTGAACTAAAAACCGATGATTGCCTAGATGCAAGTGATTACAAATGAATTTGTTGTGTGCAAACAGAATATAATCTCAAATTCCCAACTGCTAATAAATATATACTTGGTACTTGAAATTCCTAGTGCAAAAAACAAACTTGAGAATAACTGAGTGAAAGGAAACATTTATGCATAAAAATAAAAGTGGTAAGAATTATTTAAGAATGCTTTTTTAAAATGCCCCTAAACCCACAAATCTGCAATCACATAAGAAACGTGTTTAAAGAAATCCTAGTTAGAAAAAGAAATGAAAGTATCAATTAAAATTAGATATAAAATATATAATGGGAAAATGGGGAAGTGGACAGCAATGAGTATAAATCAGCAGTTAGGAAATACAGACAGTTGAAATGGCAAAATAAGATATACAAATATGACCAATGGGATTAAGGACAATATGGAGTTCTTTAAATACATCAGGAACAAATGAAACACTAATGGTATAGACTTAATAAGGATGGTAAAATACAGAGTGCATAAAAGGCACATGTAGTCAATAAATATTTCCGTTCTATATTTGAAAAAAAAGCAGGCTGAAGTAGTTATGTATTACAGAGATAAGGAAATAGTTGCTATATGTATTGATGGAATAGAAAGTATTAAAACATAATTATTAAAGGTAAGCATTTTAAAACTAGCAGGACCAGATAATTTCCATAAAGCATATTAAAAGAATTGACCAAGGAGTGCTCTGAACTGATGTTGATTTAAAAAAAATCTTAGAATACCAGAGAAGCTCCAGAGAATTGGAAAAAGAAGGAAGCATTTTGCCAATACAGGCAGTCCCCGACTTACGCGGATCCAACTTACATCGGACCCGCAATTATGAACGCGGCTTTTCTCGCCCCGGAGGACACGGACTACGGGACCTCGCGGTCCCACCGCCCGTGTACTCCGGGGTGAGAAAAGCTGCTCAGCGTCTCCCTGGTCTGCAGAACAGGAAGACGCGGAGCAAAGCCGCGGAGGGGCTCGGGCAGCCAGGCAGCCCAGGCGGAGGGGCTGGGGCTGGTCTGCAGGGAGACAGGGAGCAAAGCCTTAGAGCCTTGGAGCACGCCCGCAGCGGGACAGCCCGGGCGCGCTTGAGCTGTCCCCCTGTGGGCGTGCTCCGCGGCTTTGCTCTCCATCTGCCTGGTCTGCAGGGAGACGGGGAGCAAAGCCTTGGAGCACACCCATAGC